GCAGTTCCCGGCAAAAGCCCGGCGGAGCCCGAGACCCGCCCGTCGGAAGCCTCCGATTCCCCAAGGGAATCATCTAGATGGGGAAGCCGGCCGGGGTCGTAGCTCAGGGGCGCCTCGCCTGCCTGGGAAGCGCAAGGTCCTGAGTTCCATCCCCGGTACCGAAAGAAAACAATAAAATGTGCTCTAGATGGGGAAACAGATCGCAAAGGCGCTGATTGGACCGACTGCGGACACGGACACCCGCTTCCCGGGCAGGCGCAGGCTCCTTCCCCGCAGGAAGCCGGCACCGCCCCGAACAGCCGCAGAGTTAGTCACCCGGATCCAGCCAGGACTAAACCCAAACTTCCCACCACCCCCAACCCCGCCACCGCGAGACCTGACTCAGCTGCCGGGGAACAACCAACTTGCTCTCTCTGGGCTCTGCTCGCCCAGCCGTAACACAGGAAGGTCTGCAGCAGACCTGCGAGGGTCGGGTTGCCCTGGTCGGCAGAGCCTCGGCCCGGTGATTATTAATTTATTTGTGTTGGTTCATCTTTACGGTGCCGGGGCGGAATCCAGGCAGGGCTTACACCCAGAGGGTGTCGGGTTTATCGAGCCACTGCTATGTGAGCAGTACTTGAGGCCCCTCTCAGCGCAGCTCCCTCATTCCTTTCCAGGAGCTCCCGCCTTGGGAACTGGGCTGCCTCTGTTTGCCGCCTCAGGCATTATCCAGCCTCATCTGCTTAGGAGCCTCTGGGTTTGTGCAGGCAGGATGAGGGCAAGCTGCAGAAGGTGACCCAGAGCCACAGGCAGCCCCTGGCCTCGTCTGTGCCCCCAGACCCAGGCTCTGAAACAGACTTTGCCATCTTCCTCTTTTTGTTGTTGTTTGTTTTTTGTTTTATTTTTGTCTCACCAGTCTCCATAAGGAGTCTCACTAGGTAACTCGGGCTGGCCTCAGACTTGATGTGATCCTCCTGCCTCAGCCTTTTGAGTGCTGGGATCTCAGGTGTTCACCGTGCCCAGCCCTGCTGCTGCTGTTGTTAAAATACGGAGAAATCACACACCATACAATTCGCCCTCCCCAACTCCTGGCAGTGACCAGTCTGATTCCGGTCTCTGTGGATCTGCCTGGGCTAGACATTTCGTGTCAGTGGGATCATATATAGTGTGGCCTTGTGTGTCTGGCTGTGTTACTCAGTGCCCCGGTCCATCCAGATTGTAGCATATCAGTGCTCCAGTCCTGTTCTTGGCTGAGTAATATTCCACAGGCAGACAGACCACCCTGCGTGTATCTGCTCACCACTGATGGGCACCTGGCTGTCTGCACCTTTGGCTGCGGTCAGGTTTTGGTGGAAACATCTCCTGTCTTCAACTCTCTTGTTCGGTACCTTGGAGCTCAACAGCAGGGACCTGGATCACCCTGGGTGTGACTTGCAGAGGACGTGTGGGCTGTTTTCCCAGCAGCTGCCTGTGCACTCCCTGCCAGACGTGGACTGTGTCCAGCTTCCAAGGCCTTGCCTACGCCGTCACTTTCCACAGGGTTTTGTTTCATTTTGTGGTGCTGGGACCAGACCAACGGCCTCCTGCAAGTTGGCCCAGCCCTCCCTGAGTGGCACTGAAGCCCCTCTGATGGTCACTTGGCATCTGCCTGAGGGTTCATCATCATCACGGTCTGCATCTGGAGCTGGAGACCCTCCTGCCTCAGCCGCCCAGAGTGCCCACTGCAGGCTCCTCTGCCCTCTGCCCCATCCTTCTCTCTCCCCCGGGTGTGACTCCCCATTCTGTCCCCTCCCAGGCCTCATGGATATTTAACCACCTGCTCCCCAAACCTTGGCAGGAACCCCACCCTCACCCTCTGCTGTCCACATTACTGGTTTCCAGGGCCACCATGCAGGGCCCCTTCAGGTGGGGAACACAAGGCCCTGGGGTGCAGGTCCCCGCGGTCCCGGCAGGGATGAATGTGGCACTGTGGTCTTCGTCCTCCCCACCCGGCCTGGAGCCATCCCTGGCTCCTGTCCCCGCCCCAGGCTGAACTTCCCAGTGGGGACCCGCTGCCCTGGGCTCTTCCTGCTGAAACCAAAATGCACAGGGACGGGGACAGCGGGAGGGCACCATGGAGGAGGAGGCTGGATTCTCTCCCAGGAGCCTGGATGCTTTCCCGTCAGGGATGGTGGAAGGGGTCGCTGGGTCAGTCAACAAACATTTCCCATCTGGGCTCCGGTCCAGGACTCCCCACCACAGTGCCCAGCCTGGGCCAAGACCCTGACATCCCTGTAGCAGTGGAAGTCACAGGAGTGTCGGGCCACTGGGCCGGGGGCCAGACTCAGGGGCCTCTGCCTGGCACGTCCCACACCCCAGTGGGCGCTGGGCTGTTTTTTGGGGATGCTGTGACCCGGCCAGAGTGCAGATGTGGGTGGACTGCCCTCTGGCCTGGGCGAGGCTTCATCTCTCCGAGCCTCAGTTTCCCCAGCGGAAAGCAGGCTTGCTGGGCAGGGAGAGTGGATCTGTGTGAAGCTGAGTCAGGCTTCTCCTCTGCGAGTGGTGGAGCCAGAGCCGCTGACAGAGGAGAAATTGAGGAGATAAAATCAGAGCTGAGGACAAGGACGGGGCTGGCCTGGCTTCAGGGTGGTGACTCCGCCCTGCCCCACCGTCCCCGCTGGGCCCTCAGTGCCTCAGTGTCCTTTCCCAGGAGGGGGCGGGGGGCACCTGACGCTTCCCCCTCACCTTGCCCACCCCCATGTCCCACACACACACGGCTGTGGGCGGAGGAGCTGCCTTTCTCCTGAGGGCTTTCGGGGGTGAAGACTGGGTCTCTGATGGGCCCACAAACCCTGGCGGCTTTCTGAAAGTGCCGGGCCCCACCACAACGCCAGCTTTCTGCAACTGCTGATGAGGTGCCAGGTTGGGATTTGCAGCTCATCCATGCTTAAATTTGCATCTAATACCCAGGGGACCCTGAGCATCCCTGTGTCACCCGTGTCTGCTCCTCCCACGGCCCCCTGGGTCCCCTGTTCTCTCTGTGCATTGTAGGAGTTCTTTTTGTATGTGTGATACTACTCCTGCCTCAGTTCAGTTCAGTCGCTCTGATGTACAATGCAGTCACACCCTGGCAAATGCACTGTAAGTTAAAAATATTATAAGTAAGGGCTGGGGATCCACTTCAGAGACACCGCACCTGCCTTACACACACAAGGTCCTGAGTTTGATCCCTGGCACTGCGAAAATGGACAAACAATATCCTAAATAGAAAGTGCACTGGCTGGGGATTTAGCTCAGTGGTTCGGTGGCCTGCCTTGCAAGCGCAAGGACCCAGCGAGTTCAATCCTCGGTACCCCCCCCAAAAAAAAGTGCACTGACTCTGCCTAACCCTCTGAAGGTCCCAGCTCAGCAGGACAGCACGGCGTGATCTGCTGCATCCTCCCCGTGCAGTCTGATGTTTGCCCGGGAGCTGCACTCAGATGTGGCACCGCGAGGCATGTTTGTCCTTGTACTGTTAGCTCTGCGGTGGTCACTGCTCCGCACCACGGTAGGGGAAAAACATACAGACGCTGCTATGACGTGAAACCTCTCTGCACTGTGTCTGTTCCTTTTGCTTTTTTCCAATCCTGGGAATTAAATCAAGAGTGCACCTGCCCTACATTCCCCAAGCCCTGCCTTAAACTAACTACTTAATGAAGCAATTCTAGGGGTGGAACCAAAAGCCTCACGCAAGCTATGCAAGAATTTTACTGCCACACCCCCAGCCTTTTTATGTCCTTATTTTGTTTTTGTTGTTGTTGTTTTGAGACAGGGTCTCACTATGTAGTTGAAACTGACCTGGAACTCACTATGTAGCCCAGGCTGGTTTCAAACTCCGGCGATCCTCCTGCCTCAGCCTCCCGAGTGCTGGGATTACAGGCGTGCGCCACCACGCCCGCCTTCATGTTTTATTTTGAGTCAGGGTTTTGCTCCAGGGCCCAGGATAGCCTCAAACTTTCAATCCTCCTGCCTCAGCCTCCTGGGTGAGTAGCTGGGATTAAGAGGCAGGCACACAGGTCCCAGCTCACAGTGTCTGCATCTGTATCCTAAACCAGGTGGACTTGTGTTTGTGCGCCGTGAGAGTGAGGGAACCGATGTCATTGCCTTTGCGTGGTCGCCCTCTCCCTGTCTCAGTCTAGGGGCAAAACTGCTGACCTGCACAGGGGCCATCTGCGGACATTTAACTCCAAAACGGGGGTGCCGCTCCCGTGGCCACACTGTCCTCGCACAATGGCAGGCTTTGTCACCATCCCCCTCGCGCTGGTAGGACCTGTAGCGCCACTGTTCTGGAGGAGCGAGCGCCCCAGGTATGTGACCTGCCCGGTCTTCCAGGTGAGCCGAGCGTCTACCTGGCATCACCGCTTTGAACGAGACTGTGTTGAAACGGGGAGAAACCAGCACCCTCACGTTCCTGAGACAGAAGCACATCGTCTGCGTGGGAAATTTCCACCCACATGTAGGTCAGGATGGGAAAAATCAATGATCTACTTGAAGACGAGACAAAAAAATCCACTCCAAGTGGCGGGAGCGAGAAGAGCACGTGGCACTGAGGGGCTCGGCATCGGCGGTTTCAAGCCCCAGAGTTTGGTGTGGGGTCGAGGGTTTGGTCGGAGGTTTCACTCCTGCCGATGAGTGACTTGCCTTGGCTCTTCATGGAGTGATAGTTTTTGACCTTTTGTCTCACTTGGGGGACTGTCGTGGTGCCTAGGGCCCACCGGGTGGGGGCGTGGCCACATCTGCATAGTCAATGTCATGGTAATCAGGGCTGGGGTATCAAAGGTCTGCAGGAGACCGCTGGGTGCAAGGCGGCCACTCAGTGTGCAGACACTAAGTTACCTGGCGACCTCTGGACATGTGTCTGGGCCTGGGCGTCCTGGACAGACCAGGGACACTGCTTAGCATGGAAAGTGAGTCCGGTCCAGAGTGCGGTCGCCAAGCAAGGTGGGGCCCCTGGCTGTTTCCTTGGCAACTTCCTGCCTCGCTTCTTTCCGGGCCTGGGGACAGGAATGACCGACTGGCCCCAGTGCTCAGTGCTAGCCAGGCAGCTGAACCACAGGCCGGGCCGGACCTTCTTCGAGAGCAGCAGATCTGGCTGCATCACCTGCCAGCTTCCCTGCTCCACGTTCCCTCCTGAGGGGAGTCCCTGCCCTGAGCGCCCAGGAGCCCCGATGCCCCCACACACTGGAACCAGAGACGGCACCCGCGCTGCCACTTGGGGAAGGGGGCTTCTTACCTCTTTTGTAGTAGTCAGTGGCTGGCGGTGAGATTTTTGAAGCTGTTGAAAAATATTTACATATTTATGCAGTGCAGTGCTCGGTTGTGTGTGTATGCTTTTGCACAGTGAAGAAATCAAACTACAGCTTATCTCTCAGCTCAAAAATTTATCCTTTTTTGCTGAAGGACACTCAATATCCCCTCTCTTGCCATGCGTAATGGTGCACACCTGTCACCCCAATGCTGGGGAGGCTGAGACAGGAGGATCACCACGAGTTCAAGGCCAGCCTGGGCTGCATAGGGAGACAGGTGCATCCTGTAGAATTCTAATTGCTCTTGCCCATGGCAGAGCGAACAAAGCCAAGGTGCACCAGTCACTTGGGGCTCTGTGTCAAAGAGAGACGTGAGCCCCTGGCCCCCCAGATTTTAACCTGTTTCTGTGTTTCTTTATTTTTCATCCTTGTCACCCCTTGGTGAGGTTTGAGCTTGTAGGCTGGTTCCTGCAACCCGCTACCTCCATGAACATGGTATACCCACCATGTCCTTAGTCTCCTCTCCCTCACTCTCCTCTCTCTCCCCGTGCTAAATCTTACTCAGAACACAGTGGAATGGAAGATTAATCTCCTTTCTCCATTTGCTCACTGGTGGGCCCTGAGCCCTCCAGGTCTTGGTCGTCAGGAGCACTGCTGCAGTGGGCACGGTGTACAGGTGTTTCTCTACCCACTGATTTCTTTCCTTTGGATGTGTAGCCAGTGCTGGGACTGGTATCTTTTTTT